ATCAATTATCGGGCAGTTGTAAGAGAACAAGCAGCTTGACCCCCGATTTTATAACTTTAATTTTATACAGTACCTTGTAATTGTTTAAATATATTAATTGCTTATTCCTGAAGAAAGATTTTAATATGAATTAAATTCCTTTCGTTCATCAATTACGTCATGAGCCATTAGACTTAGTTTCCATCAAGGTTTCCTTAAAAGGACTTTGAAGAAACCTTTTAGAACATGCAGTCTATTATTATTTCAGATTTTCAAGTGTTTGCTAGAAATGGTTGTATGAACAGTTCAAAAATTGAAATACAGAATCATCCCACGAAGATTTTTAAAAAATGCAAACATTTCTGACAAGGAAGAATTCTGATCAACAAAAATTCCAAAACGAGACTACATAGTTCATATCATTCATTTTCTCGGTCTTGTAATCCTTGATTCGTCTATGAAAATACCGTTCAAATTGGGACTGAAACTCACTACAAAGGATTTGCTAACTCCGACGACGAAAGAGATTTATAGGTTTTGAAAATCAGTGCAGTGGCAACGAGTTGCGAGCGGAAAACGAACAATTTCAAAGCCTCACAAATTTGATTTTTGATGTTTTCGAATTTCTTATGATCCTAGTAGTAGTCAATAATTTTATTTAAGAGATTAGATATTCTGAAACCAGACAAGCCCCATGTTTAGAAATTTTAAATAAATTCATATAAATGCGTGAGAGGTAGGTACAGTTAATTTACTCTTTACTAATATAGTTTCAAGATTTCACCAAAATTTGAGCGTTATACTTAGAGAAGGCAAAAAACGTAAAAGAAAATTGCCCAAAATTATTTCACATTGACGCCTTTTCTGATTTGTAAAATAAAATAGTCCAACGACAAATGAGAATACTGAATGTGAAAGCAATGAATAATTTCAAAGTTGAAAACACATTTCGCGTTCTTGCAATACATATTTTTATCGCAGCTATAAATAATAGTGTCGTCCGGAAGTGCAAATACATTTCGTGGATGCTTTTGTCAATGAGAACTAAGAAATAGGTTTATTTTATGAATTTTGTATTAAACAAAATTTATGAACAAATATTAAAGTGGCTTAATTCCTAAATTATCATTGCCGTTACACATTCAATTAAAATCTTGACAAAGATAAGCATATCATGTTTCCAAAAGAATGTTTGAAAACATGAATACAAGACCTATCTATATTGATAAGAATATTTAAATGGTATGCTGATTAGCAAAGAGCAATATTCAGCTTTGATATCCAATTTTAAATCTCCTTCATTGTATAATCTTATTTAAAATTAGTTTTGCATTACTTTGTCGTAAGCGTTCACAGACCTACGGTTTATGTTGCACATTGTTTGCAAAAACATGTATCGGTGAATATATGGGTTTTCAGTGACAGCTAAGAGAAATAGCTTATTGTATTTTCATATTAATTATGTCTAAACGTGTTATTGAATACCGTTAGCTAAATAAATTCAATAATAATTATATATTTTAATGGGTAATTATTACCCATTAAAAATAGTCTTCGCTTCTATCGGTCTTGACACAAAAGAATCGTATAGATTAAGAAGTTACAGTTTTATTGTGCATAAATGTCAAAAAGTAGAAAGTAGAAAAAAGAACAGTAGAAAACATGAGAACTGTCAGAGAAGTGACTCCAGGGGTAGTTACAAAAACGGACATGACCTAGAAAAAAATTAAGATACGTTAATATTGTTTTATGTGACTTCTGATTTTTGTATTTAAGAATAGTAGTTTTTTACATAGTTGCAGTGATCTATCATTGAAATTCACAAAGGTATTCTTAAGGGTAATTACTGGAACTGGTCAAGTCGCTCTAGTTTTAAATATCATTTCTTGATTTGCTACGCATTGATCAAGGTCCATTTGCAAAATTATTACATTTACATGAAAATATGTAATGTGAATTACACCAGGTGGGGAAGACACATTTTTCAGGAACTTAAAACGTGTTTATTTACGTGTTTCTACAAATTTTTAGTATCTATTTTCAACAAAATATGTTATAATGTAAATTCGTATATTGTTATACCAGTTATTGTATCTGTTGATATTTGTAGTGAAAGTGGAGAATGCAAGACGCTAGGGGAGTATTCGATTTGTTAATTTTCAAGCATATTGTACCTAAAATGGTTACCTTAGGCCCGTATCGTCAGTCGTCCCTACAATTGTAGGGCGCCTTTATGGCCTCCTTGATTGTCATAGTTTTCTACTTCTCCGTGTCAGCGCTCTATTTTGAGGTTATGTCACAAACATCAATTTGCATCAAATTGTGCTTTCTTTTGAGTTATATCATGTTTTATCAGCCTGAAATTTCCTACAATTTAAAAAGAAAACATATTTTCACAATAGGAGAGCGCTGACGCTGACACGGAACAAATGTAATCTAGAAATTTTTGAAGGAGACAAAGCAGTATGACAATCAAGGAGGCCATAAACGCGCCCTACAATTGTAGGGACGACTGACGATACGGGCCTTAATCTCATCATATGTTCCAAATGAAGCATGATATTTTACACAATTGGGTAGTTTATTTCCACAATTTGTCGATTTGCTTAAGTTTTTTTTGGCGTATGTAGAGCTTGAAATTATAATAGCCATATCGTAACATGTACGGGTTAAATTGTTGGAATTGAACTTCTTGTATTTCCTGTCGCCAGAAAACATAAAAGTTGAAAGTCTGCACGCCCATGAAGGCGAAAGGGTACGCTTCTATTTTAATTATATCTACTACATATATTGACATATAAATAAAATTGAGCAAAGTGGACAGATGTTTCCGACGCATGCATGTAGAGAGTCTGGTTCTTTACAGTGTACACGTCCCATTCGGCATGAAATTATACCAATAAAAAAATACAATGGTTATTTTTCCTAAGTAAAGGGACGAAACGCGAGCAATAATTGTAATTGAGGCATGTACTTAAGAGTTTCTATAATGAATTACAGGTGTCAGGTGCAACTGGCTAATAGCGTTCCGATGTTCCTTGCAGCAGCGCATTTTCTCATGAATATTGAGCTATTTTGTATGTTTGTGGAAGCAACTACCGGCATGTGGTTCGTACTGAGTAATATAAAGATGATACAAGTTAGTTGAAAAAACTAATATATCTTCTACGGTGCACACTAGACGTAGAATTTGCTGAAGAAATAGATGATTCAAAGACCAAGAAGCAAATTTCTAGAATATAGTTTTATCAGCTTGAAATTTATTAGAATTCAAAAAGAAAATATAACCTCAAAATAGAGCGCTGACACGAAACAGTAGAAATCTAGAAATACCCCTGCCTTTCTGAAGGGCAGGAAAAACTATGGAAATCAAAAAAGCCATAAGGGCGACCTACAATTATTGTAGGAGCGACTGACGATACGGCCCACTTATACAGAGGCAGGTCGATAGATACCTTCTTTTGAAGCTCTTTACAACCCTAGAGATAAATTTACTATTTTTCAAAATGGGGGACTGGCGGACTATCAAAATGACATTATTTTTAAATTGGAATGCCTCATGTTTCAATACACATTCAGTTAGCTCATTCCACGAAAATAAGATTGGTATATCATTGTTGAGTAATTCAATGTACAATATCGCTCAATTTTGATAGCTCCCCGGTCCGCCATTTTGAAAAATAGTAAATTTATACTCTAGGTTATAAAGTACTCATAAGGAGCTTCAAAATCAAGTGTTACTTGACTCCATTCCATTTACAAAATTTGTCTAAGATCGCACCCACTCACAGAGAAAGTGGGGAAGCCAAAAGCAAATGAGGCTTGATAAGCTGGAGGTCATTATCCGTCATATCAAAAGTTATGTCATTAGACGTTAAAATATCAAAATTAGGTCTTCTTTCTATCAATTTTTTTTATATTGAATCTGCCTTTCTATCAACTACGTTTTTGACCCCTTTGACTTCCAACCACACATGCGCCGCCTAGCGGGAGCAAATTCGGACATCGTTGCCATTCAATGTTTCTGTAGGATGTAGCTTCAAGCTCGGCAAGTGTTGTTTCCTTCAGTCCTGATAAGTTTAATCCATACTTACATCTTAAAAAAATGTATCTTTCGCTTCCAAACCATTGAAAAAATCAGGAATTTTAACAGCTACGAGGGATGTCTTTTAAGTTTTGCATATAGAAACATAGTAGGCCGCGCGGATCGAACGTCAGTACGGAATATTAACCTACTCTTTAGTAAACTTAAGATCCACAACAATACGTACAGTGAATTTTTAAGTGTCACCAAGTCATTAGAAAAATGGAACTCAACCGAGAACATTTTCGCGCCATAATTTATTACAACTTTTAGAGACAATTATGGCAACGAAGCGCCACATCAGTAGACAATTTCCTGTTGGTATGGAGAATTCAAACGGGGACGGGTGAGTCTTAGCGACAATCCCAGGGTGGGTGCACCAAAAACGGCAGTCACCCAGGAAAACGTCGATGTTGTGCGCAAACTCATCATTGAAGATAGACCTGTGACATATGGCGAGGTTGAGGCGTCCTTGAAGATCTCAAAGACCTCAATTCAAAAAATTCCACTTGAAGAATTAGGAGTAAAAAAATCAATTTCTCGTTGGGTACCCCACCTGTTGACTGAAGAGCAGAAAGCAGCCAGGGTTAATTGGTGTCAAAAAACGCTTGACCGTTTTAATTCAACTTAAAAAATGTGTACAGCATTGTGAGTGGTGATGAATCGTGTATTTACTGTTATGAACCAGAAAATAAACGACAGTCGGCTGATTGGGTGTTCCAAGGTGAAGAAAAGCCAACAAAAGTCATCCGTTCTCGAAGTGTTTCGAAAAAGATGGTCGCGACATTTGTGTCAAAAGCGGGTCATATTTCAACAATTCCTCTTAATTAGCAAAGAACTGTTACTGCGGGTTGATATACCAACATTTGTTTGCCAAAAGTCATCACCGAGCTTCGAAAAATCAACCCCGAAAGAAGAATCATCCTCCACCAAGACAATGCAAGCTCGCACACAGCCCAAAAAACAAGGCAGTATTTAACGGCAGAAAACGTGAAATTATTGGACCATTCTCCTTATAGTACCGATCTAAGTCCTAAAGATTTCTTTACTTTCCCGAAAATTAAAAACAGACTGCGTGGTCAAAGGTTCCAGTCACCAGAAGAAGCAGTTGACGCATTCAAAAATGCCGTTTTGGATCTGCCAGCAAACGAGTGGAATAAGTGCTTCGAAAATTGGTTCGAGCGCATGCAGATGTGTATTAATCTTCGTGGAGAATACTTCGAAAAACAATAAAGTCATTTAAAACTTAAAAGACCGTATTTCGCAAATCTTCATATAAATGAACATTTTTTTGTTTGATGAACTGCAAGCCATCACCGGTAAACGTACGTATAAACTCAATTCGAAAATTTTAAAGTAGGTAATACAATCAACATGTCGTAGACAGCGATCCAGCACTGTTTTGATAATAACCACCCAGGCGTTGATGAGTTTCGGATTTCATCCAACCAAGTTCTCTGCAAGATTTCTTAAACAAAGATGGTATTTCCATGTTTGCTTTCTGCACTCTTGTTTGCCCGAGGTCTCATGTGCAGACAACTGTAAATAGAATGAGTTGATATAATTAGTTCACACGTGAAGTAGGGACTGTTTAAGAGAGATAAAAGCATGCTATAGTATTTTACGATTTTTCTTAACAAGTTCAGCGTTCCAATTTTTAAAATATTCTTCAAAAATTGACGAAGTCATCCATCCATCCTTTATTATTTCCAACATAATCGACGGGAATTGTTTTAACATTTTTGAAACACCTGGGATTCTTAAATTTCCCTGAAATAAAAAATGTCATAAATTCGTTGCAACACTGCCATTGAATATCAAAAAAATTAGAACATAAATTTCTATTCATTCACTTACCTATTATAAATAGTTTCCGTTTTTTAGTACCAGAAGCATTAGCACAAATCATAACAGTTATTCGCTTTTTTGATAGTTTCCCTCCATTGCAAGTTTCACCTTTCAATTTATGAGTTTTGTCTCGTAGAATTCTATAAAATATCCCGGTTTCATCTGCATTGAATGTTATCATCTGAATAATCACTGGATATTACGGACCAAACTTGAGAAATCCAGTCATTGGTAACATTCTTGTCAACTGAAGCTGACTCACCACACATTTTTCCAAAAACAATGTTGTCTTTTCCTAAACCTGTCTAGCCAACCGGAACTGCATTTGATGTTATCTCCCAATCAATTTCTCAAATTCTTCAGCCTTTATTTGTAACATATAGTAAGTACACTTATTAGAAAATTATTAGCACGCTTTTGTTGAATCCGTTTAAACAGCATATCATCGACTTGGGGATGCAGCGATAGCCGCATTTTTTCTTTTGACTACTTAATTTCCATTTTCATTTTTAATTTTGACACGATTTTTTCAAATATTTAACACAGTAGATTTTTTATAGCCAAACGAGCACATATATTTGCTTGAGATGAACCCTGCTCAAGCTCACTAATTATTGTGAACTTTTCGTGCAAAGTGAATGCACGTTTCGCACTTTTCGACATGTTTATAACTCTAATAAATACAGTATAACACTGATGGCCAAGTTCGAGTGCAAACTGCGAAGCCAAACCGCCGTAAACGATTGTATCAGCTAAATCAGCTTCGGGGAACTACCAAAATAGCTCGCATATAATGGATCAAAATAGTCCGCTATAAACGAAGGTCTATTTTAAGCGAGTCTATAATATCCGAGGATTTTACATGCAATTATTTAGAGGATCTTAAATTGTCAAAGTATGACGCTGGTAAATTTAAATCACGCTACAGAACACGTCTCGAGTAGTTTCTGCAACCGCCCGATGATGGCTGTTCAGTCTGACCCACAGCATCCCTTGTAACACATATTTTATTTTAAAAACAAGAAACATAATCTAATTGATGACAGATTCGCACGTAAAGTACAGAATTATCCTGATTGACCTCATTTTTGAGGGTATTAGGAAAATCCAAACTTTTCCACTATTCACATTTGAGAATATTTTTTACGAAATATTGAATTAGGTCATGCATGCAATGTTTTCAATGCAGATATCTTCAGTTAAACCACAAGATGGTTTTCAAATTATATTGACAATAGTAAAAAAAGATAGATACGCGGCATTTGTATGTCTGTGTGTAAATTGAAAATTTTTTTGTCACTGCGTGGCAGTACCAAGGACTATTGGCGGGGAAGTATTGTAATCGCGAAAATATTCGAAGATATTATGTTTTTTGGAGAGAGTAATGGACAAAAGTATAGAGACAAATATGAATATTTACCTAAATACGTTTAGAAAACGAATTCATACTTCATTGCTCCATAAACAAATGCGTTATTAGTAGAAAAACTAAATTCCTTGACTTTACATTATCTGCAATAAACACAATACAACTCTGAATATAAGCACTCTTTTATGAGGGACAAAAATATGTAGACAAATTCTTTTCAACATCAGTTTAGTACAGTTTCGTGTCAGAAGAGGATTAGTTTGTGTTCACCAAGTGGAATAAGTTGAGTGATTTTAAGATCATTGAGTTATACAAAGATGGTCAACGTCAAGTCGACATTGCCAAAAAATTGAAGCTGAAGCGCAAAGCAGTTTGGGCAATATTGAACAAATATAAACAAAAAGGTATCTTGGAAGCCTCTAAGAGAAGGGGTTGGCCTAGAAAACTAAATGCTAGATCAGTTAGATTAATAAACGTAATTTTGTCCAAAGATCCGTTTAAAACCCCAGGACAAATAAAAGCCGAAATCGAGCAAAAGGAATTGTCAGTGCTTCTACGAAAACTATAAGTAGAAGATTAAATGTTTGAAGTTATTTGCACGTCCCCGAGTAAGAAGCCGCTAATCTCGAGGACAAACCGTAAGGACCGATTACAATTTGCACGGTTGCATCTTGATTGGAGCATCTGTGACTGAAAGAGGGTATGTTTCAGCGACGAATCCATGTTCAATATGTTTGGATCAGATTGTGTTCATTACGGTAGACGTCCTAGTGGACAAAGATTTAACCCCAAGTACACTTTGCCCACTGTCAAACATGGAGGCGGGTCTGTTATGGTTTGGGGGTGCTTTTCGGGTTTTGGGATGGGACCTTTACATAGAATAGATCGCATTATGGATAAGTTTGTATACACAGACATACTAAAGCATGTCATGTTACCCTGTATGGAAGACAATATGCCCTTAAGATCCGGATAATGACCCGGAACACACTTCAAATCTCGCAAATAAATTATTTCTGGATGAAAAAATACCAGTTCACAAATGGCCTTCACAGTCTCCCGATATAAATCCCGTTGAAAATCTACGGGAATACTTACATAAGCAAACACGAGATAAAAATTATTCAAACAAGGGTGAACTTTTTGCCGCTTTAGAGGAAAAGTGGAGACAGATTGATGAATCTTATATCAAGAAGCTTCTACAATCTATGGCGAGACGATGCCAGGCGGTGACTGATCATAATGGTTATGCTACAAAATATTAACACAAACATGGTTGCTTTTCTCTAATTCAATGAACTGTGCTTCTTTTTTCTATAACTGTTTTGCTTTGTCCATATATTTTTGTCCTTCATAGTTCCAGTTTTTTCCAATTATTTTTTATTGAAGGGAGTCTAATGAATTTATTTATGAATAAGTGAGTATTATGCTATAAAGAATTATGTATACGTATACAGGTTGGTGTATTGATAAAGCAAGTTAAAAAAGAAATACAGCGGCAATATTAATTTGTCTATATACTTTTGTCCATTACTGTATATCATGCACATGTCGAAAAACCATGCCACTCTGTTCCGTGGGTCTGTCTGTCTGAGTGGGAAGTTCGGAGTTAACTTATTTGACGCCATTTTTTTTCTATTCCAACTCAGCGCAAACTTTGACGCAATTTTTACATTTTTATACTTCCACACTTCCGTCAATTGATTCAATGTCTTCATGCACCCGATAAGCAAAACAAAATCCTGCTTTTCTAGGTTCAGTGTCCCATGTATCCCCCATTTCCCACGACGCATATTCGGATTTTAATCTATTGGACAGGTAGACAGCACCCCGCAGCACCCCGTTTCGGATCTTTAATCATTATTTCAATAGCTCATGCTCGTCCCCTAGCTGGAGGTAGCGCTATTCCTAGATTCTCACCCCTCTGGGTTGTACTGTCACGTAATTTTATGCAAATTGCGGATTGTTTGTGCATCGCAGGGTGTGCTTTGAGCTTTTTCAAGAGCGATTCGAGAAACTAGGGGTTTGCGCTTGTGCAAACATTCTTCTTACTCATTTCGCTTTGTCTTTTTGATAATGCAAAGTATGTATTGTTTTCAGTTCATATGGAAAATGAATAATTTTTATGTCAGGGGTTCGGTTTTGCTTTAGTCTAAGCCGATGAAATTTGTATTTTTGGTGACGCATCCGAAAAGACAAGTTGACTACTGACTGTATTACAATTTGAGAGAGAGTTCTGCAATTCTGTGATGAAATAACTTGAAATATTATAATCATAAGAATATTAGAGGCTTCATATTAATCTAACAGTCTATGAAGATGGCAAAACAAATATACCACATTTCTCTGATGTTTTATTATATATTATCACATATAATATCGTAGTTTAGACTGCGTCTCTTCTGGTCAAACCTAGGGGTAACTTATTTCGAATTGTTTGTAAAGAGAGATATCTCAACTTTCAAATATTTTTTATAATTTTTAACTGTCCGTGATATTTTATTTTATAATTGTTTTAAAACTGCTCTTAGAATGCATTTTTTAATAAAATTGCCACAACAATCTGATACGACGTTTAGACGTATTGAACAAAATTTGTTCAATACGCCTAAAGTTATTATATATTAAAATTTAATTTGTTTCATAATAGATTTATACTGGTGTTATCCGATACGAGTTTATTCGTTTGTGAACATCAATAAAATTGTTTTACTAACGCTCTGTGAACATTTATAAAATTGATTTATTAATATTTCCTTTCTCGCCAAAATATATTCCACTCAGATGATACCTTAAAAAATTATTATATAGTTATATAAAACAAAAAAAGTTAGTAAGGATACAAACAATTATAAAATATCTTAAATAGTTGGGAAGTCGTTTAAATTAAGGCAAGAATATGTGTTTCAGTGCTTAACCATACCCCGTACAAATTAGAGAACAAAATTGCTGCACTAGAAGTGTGCCATTTTTTTGTTTATTAGCAGTTATATATAAACGTCGTTAGAATGTTTATAGCGGCATTGTTATTGTATAAAAATAGTTCTGCAAACGTCGTTAGGACATTTATAAAACATAAATTGTT